GCCGGCGAATGGTCTGCCATAATAATTTGTTTGTCGCATGGAAATTCAACTCCGAACTTCTCGCAGGAATCAGCTTTGGCTTTTGCACTGCTGTGGCTGCCGCCTTGCATGCCTCGACATATCGCACGCGTGTAGATGGCTCCTTGTTTCCAAGCCACTTCTTGCACGCTGCCTTTTTCTCTTTAACTGCCAGTTGTACCTTTCGTGTCCACCATGAAGATCGTTTCTGACCTCGCCCATGAGTATGAGGTGCTGTGCATTTGGAACTTCGCTGTATTCGGAAAGAGCACATTGCCCTTCCTTATGGAATGTGTCATATTCTCCCTGCAGATTGGGCGCAGAGTCACCTACCAAGGTCAGCGCTTTAGACTGTTGTAGCTTCAGTCGGAGGATTACCACCCTTCCGCTGTCAGGCTTCCAATCGATTATTCTATCGGCGAGGTTGGGTTCTACCAGAACGCCAACACCGGCCTGAGCGCGCGTCGTGATTTCGACGCCCGAGTAGAATAGCTTCCATCCCTTGAGGTTCAGGAGTCCAGAACCTGGGAGTTTTGTTGACGAGAGTCCAACAATGTCGAGTTGGTACTTTATGGCGTCATCAACTAATTCATGTTCTTTTCCTCTGAGTCCGGCGTAATTCCAATTTCCGACTGTAAGCTCCCACTGGCAGTATCGTTCTCGTAGAGCCTATGTGACGTTCTGACGCGCCGTCTGGTTCTTCGGTTCAGATCAGGTAGCGACTCCGTTACTGTTTGATATATTTGTACTTGTTTTGATTGTCTTCCTCAGTGGTTTTTGTGCTGCTAATCCCCCGGCTGCCATAAGGCGATGAGCAGGTTCTGATCGACGACTTTTCGCAGCCTCCCTCAGTCCTTCAACAGCCTACGCGACCCTTGGTAACCGGGTGACGACCAAGCCGGCATAAGATTGGACGACGTCAATACCATAGAGGCAGGTGGTTAAGTTTCACGGAGACTTCGCCACGGTCTTCGACGTTGCTTTTTACTCATTAAGGCTTTGGACCGGCAACGTCGGAGTTTCAGCCGCTGCGATTCACACTGTTTCCGAAAAGGGTCATGTAAAACTTTTGTCATGCCGTCTACCTTTCAAAAGGAGCAGAATCCTTTATAGGTGAAACAGACGGAAGATCTGCATGATGCTTTGTGCATGACATCAACAAAAGAGAAGAAAACAACATATTACCTCCTCCTGGATGGTGAAGGACTCAGATTTAGGGTAAAACGCTGTAAAACGTTACAGGTTTATGTGGTAATGCATTCAAAAGAAGATTACATAAGTTACTTGATAATTTTACTCATTTATCTTAATGTTTGAAGTAAATTTTGGCCTATATGGGTAATATCGATATTTTATATGAAACGCGAAATAGCTAATTCTCAAACATGAAGAAGCGCGCTTCCGTACAGACAAATATCTGCTTACCATGAGCAGCTTAACAGAAGTGTCCATTTCAGCATCAGCTTATCTCCTAGAATGTCCGTCAAAGAGAACCTGTTCAACTCGTCTACCAAATCATCCTTAAAAACAAATATCCTATAAACACTAGCTACTGCGGTCTCACCTGGTCTAAACTTTGAATCGTCGCATGGGACAGCGTATGACCGTTATTTGCGGCGATTTTTTTCAGAATGCAAGCTCCACGGACTCGATGCTTATTGACAAATAGCCATGCGACAGATTCCGGAAGTACTCTAAAATAAAAACTTATATTTTCAATCACAAGCAAATGTTTCTGTTCCGGAAGCCGAAACGTCGGAATACAGTAAAGGAGTATCTTACATTACGTCTAAAATCCTTTG